GCCACCCGCGCTCCACCACGGCCGCCCGAGCCTACGGGCCGACGGCGCGCGTTGCCTAACGCCCGCGCCTCGGGCGTGCCGGCCTCGGCCCCGGAGCGGGCAACCGCCGGCCCCGGGTCCACTTCTCCTCCCCTTCCTGGGGGTGCCGGGATGCTTACCGACACCCCGGGCGCCACCTCCACGACATCGGGAAGGTGGTCCGGGGACCTCGCCCTCCCTCGACCTTTTCGCCCCCCGTCCGAGGCCTCCGTCGACAACGACGCCGACGGGATTCCTCGAGTGGAAGACCGTCCTTCCGTTGTTGACGGCGGCGCTTATCCAGCTCCTCGCGCACGAGGATGTGCTTCGTGCGCTTCGCCGTCTTGGCATCCTTTCGCCTCTTCTGCGCATCGGCGTGAGCACGGTTGACCGCCCGCCGCTCCGCGTCCTCAAGAATGGGCGGTGGAGAGGAGCGCACGTCCCTCATCCCCTAAAGGAATGACAAACACACATAAGGGAACAAGGGGTAGGAGGAGACTGAGGAGCGTCAGAGGCTACAACGGCGCACGACTTACCAGCGAGAGGAACCCCCGCGACGGCCGCATCACGATAGGGGTCAAGTTGCCGCCCCTCACCTTCGCCTCTACCATCTCCCCCACCCGACGAAGAATCTCCTCCTCGGAAAGGGCGGAAGAGGACATCTGGGTGCCCTCAATGGGCTCACCCGGCCTCATCTCGAACAGCCGCCACCGCCGAGCCATCAGTGGTAGCACCCTCCGGCGGTGGAACGCGGCCACAACCACAGCCGCGGTGAGGCCATGGCCCCGCAGCCTCACCAGCCCCTCCAGGAGCGGCTCCAGCTTGGGCTGGTCGACCTTCGGGACGCCCCACTTCCACTTCTCCGGGCAACTCCCCACAATCCGCCCGGTGTAGGGGGGAAGCCCTCCGTCGTCGTTACGGAGATAAAACCAACTTGTGTACCACCGGCGGTTGGAGGACGCGAGTTGGGCCGGGATGTAGAGGTGCAGGCGGTCCTGACGCACTTGGAGAGTGCAGCCTCCGGCCCTCGTCGCCTTCCTCTTCCCCGACGTGCCCGACGGCTTTGTAGTATGCCCCGCCCGGAACAGATGGAGCCACAACTCCCAATGGGGCGCGATCCCTAAATACCCCTCGTAGACGGCAACAAAGATAGCCACCTGAGCAACGAAGTTGGGATTAAAATTGTGGAGCTCCACACCGTAGTAGTGCGTAAGCGCCCGCATGAACCGGTCCGCCGGGACGCCGAGGTCACGCTCGTGGAAGGAGACGAAGCTTACGACATAGCCGTCACGAGGCCTCGGCTCCGGCTCGCCGTACGGAGCAATCCATTCCGGCCTGGTGGAGTCAGTCACCGGGCGGAGGAGCCCACCGTTGACAAGCGACTGGAGCATCTCCTCGGTGACGTCCGACGGATCCCAGGGGTCCGCCTCGACGACAACGATATCACCGGCCATGGGCTCGCTCTTCCTCCTCTCCTTCTCGGCACTCGCTGCTCTAGCGACGGCTCGGTGGGGGCGGTGCTGATGCAGGCAAGGTAAGACGAGGAGGGGCAAAACTCCCCGGGTATTTATGCAGGGAGGAGGCGAAACGAGCGGGCGATGAAATCGGGGAGATTTCCCCCCAATTTGGCACGATTAACCACGAGCCGATTTCACCGGCCCACGCGCCCACGTCTCCCGCATTAAATGTGAGGACGGTTACGTCCCATCCACCACGCCACGCTCGGCCACTACGGCAGCAGGTACCGTTTCGACTCCCAATAAAACTGCCTCAAAAGGCGCACCACTCGCGGCCGAGCCAATAGGGAAAATATTTCCCGCGGCCTGTTCCTTTCATAGGAAGGAACCGGGCTCTGAGCCTATTACGATCTAGGGGTTCGAAGGCTGGACCCCAAAAGGGTTTCGACAGCTGCCCCAGGATAACAGAGTCAGGGGCAACTGTGGGCGAGCCTATTCGGGGCCGAGACCCAAGCGAGCGAAACGCTTGGGACGCCCAAAGTCGTGTCCGAGACCGGCAGGAAAGTATCCGAATGGGATCCCACTGTAGGGAGGCACCGAGCCACCGAGGCCCAATGAACGGCCTCGGCACCCACTAGAGAAATCCTCTGGTACTCTTGGAGTGTGTCTCTGGACCGCTAGCCGTCCCCTAGCGAACGGGGTTCGGGCCTCCACTCGGACTACCCGATAACAGCTCACCGGAAGTGCCACCGCTCGTGCCCATCGAGGGTAGCGAGGCACGTTCCACCCCTCCTTCCGAGCGAAAAGGAAGCGCGAGGGTCGCATAAAAAGTCAGGGGAACCCCTGACGGCCTTCTCACCCTATGCAGAGGCTAGGGGGCTCCTCCTGCAAATATGCCGAGACCCCACGACCCGGGCTCACGCCCAAAGGGGCCTCGGCAAACAAACCCTCACGCGCGAGGGGCGTATAAAAAGTCAGGGGAACTCCCGACGGCCCTCTCGCTCTGCGCAGAGGCTAGGGGCTCTTCCTGCGACCTTGCCGAGACCAGAATGGGCTCGGCAAACAAACCCTCACACGCGAGGGCGTATAAAAAGTCAGGGGAACTCCCGACGGCCCTCTCGCTCTGCGCAGAGGCTAGGGGCTCTTCCTGCGATCTTGATGAGACCAGAATGGGCTCGGCAAATGAACCCTCCGTCCGAACGAAAAGGATATGTGAGGGGCGAATGAAAAAGTCAGGAGACCCCCGACCGTCCTCTTGCTCCAGGCGGAGGCTCGGGGGCTCCTCTTGCACCCAAAAACCAAGACAAAAACACGATAAAGGGCCCCGAGCCCGTTACGGTCCAGGGGTTCAAAGGCTGGGCCTCCAAGAGGTTTCGACAGCTGCCCCAGGGCAACAGAGTCAGGGACGACTTCGGGGCGAGCCTACGAATGGCCCAGGCCCGAACGAGCAGTCGCTCAGGGCGTCCTAAGTCGTGTCCGAGACCGACAGGAAAGTATCCGAATGGGATCCCACCGTAGGGAGGCACCGAGCCACCAAGGCCCAGCGAACGGCCTCAGCACCCACTAGAGAAATCCTCCGGTACTTTTGGAGTGCGTCTCTGGACCGCTAGCCGTCCCCTAGCGAACGGGGCTCGGGCCTCCACTCGGACTACCCGATAACAGCTCACCGAAAGTGTCCACGCTCGCGCCCATCGAGGGTAGCATGGCACATTCCACCCCTCCTTTCGAGCGAAAGGAAGCGTGAGGGACATACCCAACGTCAGGGGGACCCCTGACGAACCTCTCGCTCCATGCGGAGGCTAGAGGGCCTCTTTTTGCAACCTCGCCGAGACCCTCGCAACCCGAACTTGCTCTTATGGGCTCGGCAAATGCAATAAGGTACCCGACAATCCTTCACTCAAACGCGAAAGTGGAGAAAGCCCCTGGAGGAGTAACTTCACTCCTCCAGGAGCTCGGGGGCTACACCCGGCGGGTGCGCTCGCGCGCACCCACCGGAACCTCAGAAAACAAACCAATTCCGACGGAGCAGGCATAAACCCAGCCTCGACGAACCCTCAGGGAGAGTGCACGCACTCACCCCGAGGCTCGGGGGCTACTGTCGGGTACCTTAGAACGGGGTACCCCAAGCAAACATCAAAATAAAGCTAGAAGGTAAGCCGTGGGCCCCTCACCTGCCACGACCGAGCCCTCCTCCACCTCGCCTCGAGCCTCGAGCAGGGGTCTCAGAACAAACTCCGCCTCGCGCGAGGCTCCCCAGGGTAGGTCTCGGCAGGGGGCACCGAGCCTCGGCAGGGGGCGCCGTCTCCGTCTCGCCTGAGGCTATCCAGGGAAGGCCTCGGCAGGGGTACATTCTTCGTATCGCGTGAGGCGTCTCGCTTGAGGCCTCGGCAAAGAACCTGATCTCCGCCTCGCGCGGGGCCTCATTCTCCGTGTCGCTCGAAGCCGGCTCGTCCGTGGCCCATCGCCCCCCGCCTCGGCCGACCCTCCCAACAACTCGTCATGTCTCATTAATGTTTCAACCACTCCCGCAATCTCAGCCGGACGGTGGCTCAACGCCACAGGATGGCCGACGCGACCCGAGGTCGCATCAGCGCCATACCGGCCGGGACAGGGTCCGACGGGGATTACCGGCCACTGTGTCCTACCACTGTGTCCATGATCAGCACCATACCGGCTGGGATAGGGTACGACGGGGATTACAGACCACTATGTCCAAACGCTGTACCCATGATCGGCCGCCCGCTCAAGGCCTCGGCACTGTACACCGGGGCCTCGGCGATCTTGGGGTTCGTGCCTGCCGAGACCCCCCCACCGCAGTGCCAGCCTCGCCATCGACCAAGCCTCGGCCTCACGCACAGTCCGTCCACAGTGGCTTGCACGGTCGCCGCCGCGTCCACTCCGAGGCATTCCCGGGGCTCCCACGACGCACAGGATCTGATGGGATGACCACGCCGCCCCAGTACTCCAAGGATGGACCACTCCGACGGACATACCGCCACAGGAACAGGCTACAGGGCCCGGACACGCCGCCTCTGTTCACACGACGCCATATAGTCAGCTCATGTACCGCCCTAGTCCTCCCTTCATGCTATAAAAGGAGAGGACCTGGGTTGTTTTAAGGAGGAGAGGGGAACACCTTGTAACACACACGCACACTCCTGCCGCTGGAGAGCAACGTCTCAAGCGGCCCGCACGGCACCCTGCCGAGACCTAGGACCAGCTCCTTCTCTCCTTTAGCTTGTAACCCCCTACTACGAGCACCTCGGTGCAAGGAATACAAGATCGATCTCTCAGACTGGAAGTAGGGCCTCGATTGCCTGAACCAGTATAAACCTTGTGTCTCTTTGCATCACCATCCGGATCGGGAGCACGCAGAACAAATTCACTAGTTGGTTGAGGACCCCCTGGTCCAAAACACTGACACCATTGGTCTAGCATCCTCTGCGTAGGGCGCGGCTTAGTTAATAAACCAAAACAGAGGTGTCGCAGGCGGAATGATTATGAAGGTATAGATGAAGGCCTTACCATAGTGAGGATGACCTCGAGCTTGCGATAGCGGAGGCCATGGCCGAAGAAGAGAAAGGGGTTGGCGGCGAGGCTCTGGCGCTGCAGGCGGAGGGCGGCGCGGGCAGCGGCCATGGCGGCGGCGTGCGGAAGGACACTAGGGTTCGCTCCTCTGTGGACTGTGGGGAGAGTAGTTCGGCCTGCAAGGCCCAACAAGTCGCTCAGGACTCAGGGCCTCTTTTGCTGGGCCATGCAGATACATGGGCCGACAGCCTCAGGTCGCTGGGCGGTGGGCGCACGCAGGATTTTTTTTCATTTGCAAAATAAATGCCTCCGACAAAAGAAAATGCAAACATATACTCTGCAGCCGTATATTACGTAAGAATTTGACAAGAGAAACCGAGAAAAGCCAAAACACCTTTTCAGATAACAAATTCATGTACGTAAAATTTTTTCAGATAAGCTTAGGTTACAAATAAAATAGGTGTAACTTCAATACGAATATTTTAATTAATAGACAAACATATACAAATTTTTACTTAGTTACATCATTTTGGACTGAACCCTCAGGACGCGGACGCATAAGCTCCGCCGAGGATTTCATATCGGATGTGTACATGTGGAAGCGGTTTTTTATCGAAACCGGGTAGTACGCAGACCCAAGAACTCTAAGTGAAGTATGATTTGTATCGAACTTGAACGCGTGATGATATCACCGAGCAGATGATGGTGTTATGGTCTTTTAAGACGTAGAGATGATTCAGTGCTCCAACACCTTCAGCGTTTTAGCTTTCAAGACACCAAGCTACCACTGTAGGCAGACTAGCAGTTACTCCTCCCGTGGTAAATGTTATGGAGGACGAGGCAATCATAAATCTGTCGGCATATTTTTTTTTCGCCAACCATGTTATAAAGGAAACAAAGTCACGATAATTTTAGCATGAAGTCCTTCTGTAACAGATGATATGGATATATATGGGCTGTTCGTTTGAGGAGCCGGCAATCTTAGATTTTTTTTTTCTCGAATACGGCAATCTTAGATGTGAGGAGCCGGCAATCTTAGATGAATTGGTTCATCCTATAAATTTACCGAAATAGCTTCATTGTTTATGTTTATACCAGTTATTATCATGTGAATGATCTAGGATAATGGTAAATCAACATGTTACATACTGAGAAAACAAATAAAAATCTTAGAAATGAGAAAATGGTGAACCGCCACATTTTCTCACATGAAGTATGGCCTTAGTGAATTGCATGGATATGACAAACTATTTATGAGTGAAAGGTTAGATTAACGGTAATCCCTCCTTACCAAAAAGATAGGTATATTGCGGTATAAGAAAAGGTCAAATTTTATAAACTTTACTCATCTTATATGTAAATGTAAGATATATTATCAATAGATTTGTATTCAAAGCGTCTTTGAGATGATAATGACTAGTATTTAGTAAATGATAACATATCGTAGAAGAAATTAAATGTCGAAATCTGTTTTGTGTGGCTTTTCTATATGAGAAAATACACATAATTTTGGTTGGATTGCTACTCACTCCCTCCGTTCCAAAAGGACCGAGGGGGGTACTCAGTTATAAATCTAGCATTAGTTTACACCTAAATAACTCAGCTAGCTCCAAGAATTTTTCTTTTATGTTTTAATAGAAGAGAGAGAAAAGCTAGCTCTTGATCAAGAGTTAGGCTCATACAGATATTTTAAAATCATGTGAGAGTATCCTATAGAGCTATTCATATTATGAGCTATAGCTAAAAGTTAAAACTATTGAAAGAGGTTGGCTTACCGTCAGTAACTACTTCCCTCCGTTTGTGTTTACTTGTCATCGACCTTTTACTGTAGCAAATTTGACCATCTGTTTTTTCTTTAAAAAATCTTAGATACTTCAATGTATATAACACTAATGAAGTATGTTCAATAAAGAATCATATATGTGAAAACTTGATGTATCTAAAAATCTTTTGCAGAAAAAAATATATGGTCAAAATTGGTACAGTAAAAATTCGGTGACAAGTAAACGAAAACGGAGGTAGTAGCTTATAAGGAGACAGTAGCAGAGAAGGAAGAAGCGCTCGAGGGACGAGGGTCTTGACTCTTGAACAAACGTCTGACCGTGTTGAGAGCATGTTTGGATAGGATTAATAAAGTTTGGGTTCTGGATAAAAATAATCTCTAATGTTTCTCGGATTCTGTGCGACAATGTCCGGATAAAATTGTATGATTTTGAGATTTTTCTATCTGGATAGACTCTAGAAATATCTATGCATCCAAAGTCCAATCGCTACCTTAGGTTTTTTTTTCCCATCCGGAAAATGGAGCGATGGCAACAAAAACTTGCGTCTCGTTAATTCCCGAGGCGGCAGCGGGCAGCTGCGGGGAGAGCGAGAGAGGGGTCCGTGGCTCCGTGCCGCAGACAGGCAGAGGCATCCGCTGGTCCACCAGAGCGTGAGCGAATCAGGCGTCCACACCTGTCTGCGTGCACGGTGGCGAGCGGCGACACCCGTGCGGATGCGGATGCGGATGCGGGGGTACGCCGTGTCAGCATGCATGAGCGGCGGCTCCAGGTCGCCCCACCCGGCGCCTCACACGTAGCACGCCACGCGGCGGCGCCGCCGAAGGAGGCCGGCCAGGGCCAGCGTCTGTCTGGCTGGCTCCCGCCCGCCCACGTGAGCCAGGCACGGGGCTACGCCAGGCCACCACCAGTTGAGTTGGGTTCGGCTGCACCTGCACCTGCACCCCGTCGGCGTCACGCGCCCACGCCGGCTCCACGTGACCCATCGGCCCGGTGTCTGGTCTGGCTGGCCTGCCAAGTGGCGAGTCTCTGGGCTGGGCTGGGCTCTGGTGGACACTGATGCCACTGGTGTTTCTGGCTGGCAACCTGTGCGGCGGCAGCAACAGGAAATTCGCCGTCTTTGTACGATGTTTGGTGTGTGCGTGTGTGTACACTATTTTTCTGGGACCTTGTCTGTCACGTTGGACTTTGGTCTCGTGAGTGTGTGTGATGCCGAGGCTGCCTCTGCCTCGATGGATCACGGCCACACGCCCTGCGAAACGCACGCTGCCTTGGATTGCTACCAGTACCACCGCTGGAATGCGAGATACGGCAGCGGGATTCTGTGCAACTTTTCTAGCACAACAACAACACATCCATACATGTCTATGACCATCTTCAAAAGACTAAGCTAATAGACATCGAGAATAATAAAATCACCATACATGTCTTACTTTCGATAAGCAGGTTATGTACCACTAAAAGAATAACATCATTAAATTTTAAAATAAACTCAGAGAAATGCTGAGGACATGTCTCAAATCAAAGACTTGAACTAGGTGACCAAAATACATCACAAGAAACTTAGAGCTTGATTGGTAGGATTCATCCATGACTCTTAGCTTCAGATTTCCGACTCGATGATGGAGTGGTTCTATTGAAGGACTAGGAGCTTCTAATATAAATAGGGAAGTTGTTTTTTTATCCGATGACTACGAATTTGTACTGTTCAACTAAGGCCCTATTTGGCAGGGCTTCACTTCACTAGTGAAGCCATTTTTTTTTTGCTTCAGCTCCACAAACAGTTCCACCGGTGGAGCTGAAGCGGTTTTGGTAAACCGTTTGGCAAAATGGCTTCCCTGTGAGAGCATATTTTTAGGGGTCTGGAGGAGGAGCTGGGGGAAGCCACTTTTTTTTGCTCCATCCCACCCCAAATCATTGTGAGAACATGTTTTTAGGGGGGCTTCACCAGTGAAGCTATTTCACTTTACCTCGTTTGGCAAAAAACGGCTTCAAACAACTCCTGAAGCTGGTGAAGAAGTCCTGCCAAACAGGACCTAAATAGGAGTGATTTTGACGGAGAAACGGCTCCAAATTAAAGGGCGTTGCCAAACGACTCAGCTGAGGTATGCTGAGTTTACTTAACCCTCCCGTCAATTCATGCATGCATGTATGCAGCTAAGCAGGAGAGGTGCGCCGCATGCATGTGCATTGCGTGTTCTAGACTCCTAGTCGCGTACCAAGATCAGTCTTGACCCTCAAAAAAACAAGATCAGTCTCGACCTCAGCAATTCAATTATGCCCTCGTTTAGTTGGCGAATTTTTTTGAAATGGTGCTGTAGCATTTTCGTTGTTATTTGGTAATTAGTGTCCAATCATAGTCTAATTAGGCTTAAAAGATTCGTCTCGTGAATTTCGTCTAAACTATGTAATTAATTTTATTTTTTATTTATATTTAATGCTTCATGTATGCGTCCAAAGATTCGATGTGATGGAGAATCTTGAAAAATTTTGCAAAATTTTAGGAACTAAACAGGCACTATATATCTATGGCCGATTGTTTAACTAACTAACTAGTAAACCGACGCCAATTCGCAAGTGTCATGGCCGAACTTTAAGACTTGAGTCTAAAAATGGTGTAACTTTTTGAATATATCCCACGCGGATATAAGAGACGGATATTATATTATTTTCTAAAAACAAGTTACCACTAATCAGCAACGGGGTTTTCCCCCCTCTCCTGATATAAAAATACGCAGAAAACCACCGCACCGCATAGAGATTTTTCTTCGGGCGGCGATGTCGACCGGCGGGCGTCACTCGCTCACTCCATCGACGATGGGGGTGCTTTCCACTCCTCCTTGCTGACTGGAAACGAAACGAGCGAGAGTTTCTGTCTGACGGATCAGGAGGACAGGCGGCAGCATCGCGGCGGACGAGACAAACGGTGGAGGTGCACGTGACGCGCATCCGGGCCGCGCGGTGCGGGTTTGACGGGGCCGGCGTGGGACGTGTACCCATCCGTCGGTGTCAGTCCCTCTCGTGCTCGTCAGTGGTGCAACGGAGCACCGGCGGCGAGCGCGTGCACATACGCACGCACGCACGCATCCGTCGGCAGCGGAGAAGGAGAAGCTTCCAAATACTAAACTACTACTCCTACTCAAACGTGGATGGCCATGGCATTCGTGCTTGTGTAGCACTGCAGATGGAGCTTGGGGAGGGAAGGAAGGAAAACGCGCCGTCGCTACTAGTGTGACAGCTGATGACACGTCTCACTTAAATATCAACAATTTACATCAGCGCTTTAAATGGTTTCCTGCTGCGGGCCTTTAGCCGGTGTCTGGTCTCCAC